CTTCCTGGAGGAAGTGTTAATAGCAACAGCGCCTTATGTGTGTACCCTCTAAACCTTCATGTATGTGGGGTCTGAAACATCAACCAAATGGTAATGACAAAGAACTAACATGGGTTGTCTGCTATATGAAAATATTATGGTCAAAGATATATATATACTTACTAGTATATAAAGAAAAGCATTACCAAGTTCTTTATTTAATATATCTCATTGAATTAATCTAATACAATGTAATCATCTTTAGCCTAAGAACTGTAAAAAAATGATCATGCATCATCTGTGTATGAATTAAAATTTGTAGTGTCTGTGGGCGACTTTGATGGCCAGAGATAGCGTTTAGATAGTTATGTCTAATCTGAAAGTATGTCTGTTGGTTTTTGTTAGTCGTTTGGGTTTCTTTCTCGTTGACTTTAAAAACCTCAAATCTCTCTTTATTCATAAATATACTCTATTACAGATATATCAATGTTAAAGACGCTGTTTTCTGCTTCCGGAATGCTGACCTGTATTCAACTCATTTGAACGAAACTATAAAAATATTTTTAAAAAATGCACCTCATGCCAAAAGAATATAAATGTTAAGCTTTTAAGGTCCACTAAACTCTATCAGTGATCTCTTGGTAGTAAGTTTGATCGCTTGCCAATGAAACCATCACTTATTATAAAATCTCCCCACTTTAAAAACATAAGAAGAAGTTGTATGATTGCCAATGAGAAAACTTTCCACAAGAGATATCAATGATGTGGGTGTGTATGTAAACAACTGTAGTTCATCTTCAAAATATAAAACAAGTTAAACGAGAAACTCAAAGGCCTGATTAATGTTAAAACAATAAATGAAAAAACAAATATGACAGACAGCAAACAATAACAACCAAGTAATAAAGGGCCACTGACTTGTGATAATCATATTCATAGTGTGCAGGGTTAACCCTGTTTGCGAGCACTCAACCCTCCAATAATCAGGAACAGTTTTTATTTAGGGGTCGGCTGAGGACCACCTCCTGGTGCGGGATTTTCTCGTTGCGTTGGGGCCCATTGGTGGCCTTCGGCTGTTATCTGCTCTTGATCTGGTCGGGTTGTTGTCTCTTTGACAAACAGTATTCCCCATTTAATTTCTCAGCTTTATTTAAATAGCAAACAACGTAAGAACAAATTGTAAAACCAAGTTGGAAAGGGCTCAACTCAAAAAGATCAGCACGGAGTATATAACCAATTAACAAAAAGACACTGAGTTCTCATAGCTAGTTCAAAGCTTAGTAATTACAATTGATGAATAAATGCTGTTGGCACCGACTAAAATATAAATAAGGACACATCCGATTAGTAACCAAAGTGAAAAGAGGATTCAGTGTTACAGTCAAAGCTTTATTTATATGGTGTGTGATTACTGAGATCGTCGCAAATTACATGAGTAGCTTTTTGCTACGAGGAGCCTGAAATTTTCATTTGTGAAAAAATATTTAACATAAAATCATTTAACACTCATCATTCTTATTTTTTTTATGAAACATTGTTGGATTCTAAATCTTAACATGTTTGTTCCAGAAGGTAAATGAAAAAAATTTATTGTTTTCTTTCTAAAGTTGTGGAGAAAAAATTCATTAAAGACTTTGAATCTTGCAATAACATTTTTTTTTATAAAAAACAAAACGTGTGTTTCTGGAACCCCTTCCCAAACAAAAAATAAACTGTCTGTGCCTTTAACACAGGGGCAGAATTCTTTCAAATACCAAGTAAGAATGTGACTAAGTTGGTCACTCTAATTCAGTACAATTTTCCATTTATAGGTTACTTACCAACACTATTTTGGAGAATTAGATTCTTGGATTGTAAAATAGCGGAACACAATCTCGGTCTATATCTTTATTCAAATATACAAATTCTGAGACAGGAAATTGGTTTATTTATAAAACTATTCTTTTAAATTGAAATAATTATGTATTGTATTGTATTATTTCAACTGTTTTAAAAAATACAGAACATTTTTTGTATAATTTTTATTTTTTTCAACTTTGGCAAATAAGGGGAAGCAACTCATATAACCTTACTTTTACTACAAAACATTTTTATAAATTACACCACTTTCCGCAAAAGGTATGTTTGTATAGTTTTAGTATGTTGTTCATAGATAGTAACAGACTTGTTTTTCAGAGAAAAACTTTGTGTTGCAATTAGTTGCAGGTTGTTCACTAAATTGACTAGACTAAAGGGGGTAATTGCCTTAAACGTTTAGGAATTTGGTGCCAAAAAGGGGCAAAAAAAAAGCATTTTTTTTAGGGGGGGGGGGGGGGGGGTCAATACGCAACAGCATAGTGTATTTCACTAAAGCAAAATAAAGGGGGGTAAATTATTTTTTTTGGGGGGGGATCAATTTTGACACAATTATTTCTGTCAAATTTGATTTTAATCACTTGTATCAGGCCTTCCAAATTAGTCAATTGAGATTATTTTGTCTAAATATGAATTTTGATTCAATTCAATGAAGTGAGCATATCTTAGCATGCTTAGTACAGTTTGAGGTGCAGTGCATTTTCGTTATAAAAATAACTAATTATAAAAACTATTGTATTTAATTTTTCACAAGGATTCAGATATTAAAATGTCCTTGTGTGTCAAATTTAATATATAAAGGAAAACTCTTAAGGTCAGCTGTCAGTTATTCCTTCGAAAAGAAAAGATCTTGCTTGTATTAGCAATTCTAATAATATTTAGAATAGGTCAACAGTCAGTTATTCCTTCACAAGAAAAGATCTTGTTGGTATTGGATCTCCTTTCTTTTCTACACATTAAAAAAGTTCAAGAATCATGCAATTAAAAAGAAGATAAAAACTAATTGGCATTTCATCAGTATAACATAAGAAAAAAGAAGAGATATGACACTAAATTTCTAAAGTAAAAAAAAACTTGCATGCAATACACAGTAACTCTTAAAAATGTTGTTATGTACTAAAACCACTTTGAGATTTTCAAAAGTAGGCAGGTATGCAATCTAATGAATTATCAAAGTGTGTATTGAACATATTGAAGAAGAGAACTTGTTCATTATTGAATACAATTTATATGAAAATTACCTGATGAGAAATTATCTGTTATCATTGCTCTTTAAGTTGGCATCGTCCTCCTTTCTTTAATATTTAGCATTTCTAGACTTAATGATTAAAAACAGATACCAGACACATACATTTCTTTTCATAGAGTGTTTTTTATGTTTCAATTTTTCTTTCTGTTAAGTACATAAAATTAATTTATTATCTATAAGGAATTGAATTGTAATTAAGAAATTGTGGTATCTGTCCAACTGTGAAGTGAGGTTGTCTTTACTTATGACAGAATAGTCCAAGCCATCTGACAACATGCACTAATTAGTCTTTAAGTACATAGTCTTATGTCATGAATTAATCAGATTCAGATTCAATATTTTATTAAAGTATCACCACTTGTAATACATGTAATACAATCATCATAATATATATATATTGTATAAAACAGTAATTTTGTAAGTTAAAATACAAGTACCATTCTATAAAGAATTATGAGAGACTATAGAAATTATAATAAATTATAACTATATATTTATCATGTCCATTCTATAAAAAAATATAACTACATTTATCATGTCTATAAAATGTTTGAGTTCTATAAAACATAACTATCAATCAGGCATATAAAAACTATTTCTTCTACTTAAAATATTAAAGCAGGTCTTGGCAACCATATCATAACAATCAGTACTTTTAAAAAGATATCTTCTTATTTATATTTATCATTATCAGATAAAATATTAAAATCAACATTACTTCTTTTAACCTCGTAAAATAAACTTTCACGCAAATCTGCATATAAGGGACAGCCTAATAAAACATGTTTCTCATCTTCAATTTTATCATTACATAAAAAGCAAACTCTCTCATTTACAGTTTTGTTTTCATAGTGACCTGTTTCTATTCGCAAAGGGGTGACGCCACACCTAAATTTGGCAAATGCACTTCTGTACCGAGTCTGTAATTTTTTTCCAACATTTTGTGACAATATTCTATTTTGCCAATTTACCTTATATTTTTCAAATAAAAAATCTTCTGTGTTATAACATTTTTATGCACCACATTCTCTAAATTCGTTCATAATGTTCTAGTACAGAGATTGTTTTTGCAATTGTTCAGGACTTACTTTATAGATGATCTTTAGATGTCATTAGGGTTTTTGTGTCATTGAGTTGTTGTCTCAAGAATAAGAAAAAAATGAATTGCTGTCTCGACATGTCACATATATATACACCACTTCTCATAATCATGTATGTACCAGTACATGTACTTCAGAAAGTAATAGCATAAAGGCCATGTGTATTGTACACATAAAAAAAACTTAAGAAGTGCAATGGTTGTCTATTTCTATCCTTATATAAGTGATTAAATTGTTTTTGGGGTTTGGAACTTTTTTTACCTGATGAACATAAGATCATTGCATAGGAGTTCAGACTTCGCTTCAATATTGACTAATTTTAATTTTATGCATTAACAGAATGATGTTGTGGGTAAATTACAAACTGTTCATAATTCTTGTAAAGATATATAAAACGATTAATATAAATATATTCAAAAATAGATTAAGGTGGTACCCAACACCTTGACTAATATTAATTTGGCTCGTTTAATTTTCAAAAAATTTTGACAAAATGTTTACTTTGACCCTTTGACAAAAATATAAAAATTTCAAAAAATTTGAACCAACCACTTTATCAGAAAAATTTCATTGGTTATATAGCAGTTTGACTAACACTAATTTTGATCATTAAGAAGCTTAATATTTCCTTAACAATACAACGTAATTAAAACGTTTAGCTGATTTTTACAGAGTTATCTCCCTGTAGTGTTAGGTACCACCTTAACTGGGTTAGAATCCTATTTCATACACATGTGCTAATTTATTATATTTTCATGAATACATGTACATTTATGTAAAAGAAAGACTAATGGGTCTTTAATTAACTATCTTTAAAGGTATAAAGTACAAACAGGATGAGCCAAACAAGTACCTCTAGTGCTGGTAGCTGGCAGGGAGGGAGAGGATGGAGGGGTCGAGGCTGGTGGAGAGGTCGTGGTGGAGGTCGTTACTACAGTCACCATGGCAACAGAGGGAGAGGCAATTCACGTAAATTAAGTTAACATTATATTGCATAATTATGTGGTGAATATCAAATCAGTATCAACTCATGTTAAAAAATATATATATTCATGAGTACATTTGGTAATCATATGATTTATTGTTGAATGCTTATTATCCAGTGGAATATATAACATTTATATTCAAGACTACAACTCAATTAAATTCAATTCAAATTATTTAAAGTCGATATTCAGTTAACAGACTACATAAAAACAAGCTCTAGAGAGCTTTTTAAATTGACTAAATAACAATATCTATACACATATACAATAGTCATGAAAACAACGCAACTTTTAACATATAATGCACGGTAAGATAATATAGATTTCAAATAAAAATTAAAAGCATAGTTTCAGTAATATTTGTATGGCCTACTGGAGAAGAGCCATTTCAGGGATGGAAGAAGGCTGTTTTTGTATGCTGTTCAAATTTTCTCATAACAGAGCAAAGAACTTTGAATTTGAAATACTAAAAGATTTTAATTTATATTGGTGTGACTGAATGTGTATTGAAAAATTATTGTATTTGCGTTCATAAACACATGGAAACAATGGGACAAATTTGCACTTTAATGCTTATGTCTGGTCACAACTTTTAGTATCTGAAACATGAACCCTAGTACTGCAGGACGTCGATATAGTGATGGCCCATATAACTTTACTGTACTGCCGGTCATCAATATATTGATAACTTCCGATAGGTTCATTCAGTGCCGGTTGTCACTATATTGACTTTCTATATAAGGTAAAGGTTTCGAGTTCTAGCCAATCAAATCACACAGATATTTTTATTTTAAGTCGATATTGCGTCAGAACAAGGATTTCCCTGTAGAAAGATGTTTTCATTGGTTGCTTCCCGCATTCCATTCTAAAATTATTTTGATGATAAAATTGACCCCGTAGTTTGTTTACATTCGAGTATGAAACAATGGAAGTATTTGTTGAAGTAGCGGATGGGAACACGTTTTAATAGGAAGTAGACCATGAAAATCGTGATTTTGAAAGACAAATATTTCTACAAGATGATTCGGACGAAGAATTTATAGGTTTTGATGAGGATAATCTAGAAAAGAACGAAAAAATAGCGCCGTTTTAGGATACGTAGAAACCTGGATACATGTGGTCTAGCTTTTGATTCTGGAAAAGAAGTTAAACTTTGATGTTGGAGAAAATACAGAGATAAAAGGTTGCTTACGTTTATAATTATTAATTAAGATTTCATAAGAAAATTAGTTGAAGAACCAAACGGATGCATACTAGACTTTTTTGAGTGGGAGCAAGGGCAACAATATTGAAAAGTAAAATAACGATTTACAAGGAAAATTCACACTCATGGTTTAAATTATTGGACGATGTCAACCGGGTTGACAGGAAGCAGTTTGTCATGAAATAATAAAATATATTATTTGTCTTTTTTTTGCTAATTAAATGAGATTTACAAATATTTTTAATAATCAAATAAATAAAAACGTAATTTTTCCAGTTTCATTTGCTATATCTAAATAATTTCATAATCCACTGTCTCTTATTTTATACTGTGAAATTCTGCATTCAATTCTGCAAAACAAACTCATTTAATGTTACTTTCTAAAATGTTCAAAAATCATAGAAAATTGATAAAACAATTACATTGTGTAACACTGATAAATTAACAACTCAGCACAGTGAGATGCAGAGGCTAATTAGCATCATGGCACTGCAGTGAACTGATAATCTATTTATAGATGGCAGTACTAGGGTTAATTTAAAAATAATAAACATTCTATCAGGAAAAAGATGTAAAAGTTTGCACCATTCAATTAAGCCTATAAATAATTTTTGGGTATATATGAAATTACACTTGTAATTAACTTCCCTGTACATTTCTCCTCTTTAACACACCCAAATGAAGAAGGTTTTATTGTGGGCCAAAGTTATTGTTTTTAATCATTAATTTTTTAACAGCCTATTTATGAAGAAATTTCTGACCCACATAAGGAATGTGTATTTTGTTGGTTGCTATGGTCTTACAATGTTCAAAATGTTGTAGTTGAACTGAATATTTAAAATAGAAGCAGGCTGATTAGATGTTTCTATCAAGTATCAGATCATATTAACTCATAATCTATTATTAGAATCTCAGGGCAGGGGAGGAAGAATGATGGATGATCCACAGCCCAACAGAAGGCCTGCATCACAGATGGTCCAGACTGTCATTGAGGTCCAGTCCCCATACAAAGGATGGAAGTATTACTTTTCAGAAGAAGGCAAGGGCTGTTCCATTAAAAATGTATGTGGGAGGGTAGGAAGGCACTTTCAAAATATCCCTACAACCAACAACCATTTTTGTCGAGCCTTCGACTTTAGTTGAAAAAGCAAGACATAGAGATCCTACATTCCGTCGGCGGCGGCGGCCACAAATATTCACTCCGTGGTTAAAGTTTTTGAAATTTTAATAACTTTCTTATACTATTTTGGATTTGTACCAAACTTGGACAGAAGCTTGTTTATGATCAAAAGCTAGTATCGGGAAGGAAATTTTGTAAAAAAAAAAATCAATTTTTTCTGAATTTTACTTTTAAATGGACTTAGATTTTCTGCCAGGAAACAACACATTCACTCTGTGGTTTAAGTGTTAAAAATTTTAATAACGTTCTTATACTATTTTGGATTTGTACCAAACTTGGACAGAAGCTTGTTTATGATCAAATGCTAGTATCTAGAAGGAAATTTTGTTTTCTTCCAGTTAACATTACATTCAGTCTGCAGTTAAAGTTTTTAAACATTTATTAGCTTCATAAACTATCCTGGATTTTTACCAAACTTGGACAGAAGCTTCTTACAATCAAAAGATAGTATCAAGAGGAATATTTTTATTGATTTACTTCCTCATTTTTGTTGAGCCTGTGATTAACAGAAAAAGTAGACGAGACACTGGGTTCCGCGGAACCCTTACAAATTTTTTAGATAATTTTACATAATGGTAATAGATGCATACTGAAAAAAGACCCATGACCCATATTCAATCATTAAACTTCCCTTCCTACCCTCCCACATACATTTTAATGGAATAGCCCTAAATACAAACATGCATACACATGCCCATTCTCTACTTAAAACACTCAGATGATGTAGGATATCCCAAACGAAGGGTAGAGGTACAGTTTCATGTCATAATAAATTTTGTAGAGTCAATGGGAATAAAATAGCATGAAACTACAATTATATTTTTTTTTGAAAATTTGAAAAACTAAATCAGTAGTTTAGTAATTAAAATAAAGTTTGCCTGAATTTTTTATTACATTTCAACAATATTGAGTGGATGTTAGTCAGCATTTACTTTTTCAATTTCAGCTTATAATGACCACTCTCCCACAGTGAAAAAGGTTCAAGTATTTGAGAAATATTTCCTTAGCTGGTCACAGTCTTACAAATGGGTATGTATTAGTCAAGAATTTTACATTTTTATTTTTACAAGGTAACTATTTTTTGTGCAATGTTTATTTATTTTCTAAATTTTATTTGACATTCATTGTCATTTCTATCCTGAAAATATTTTAGTGATACCTATGAATAATTTAGTTTTTAAGCCAAAATTAAGTATTTGGGACCCCAGTAAAAAATTGAGCTCTCTGATCCTTTTGTTTTTAAAAGATTTCTTCCCCCAAAACTTTTCAATTATTTCTAACTTTTGGGATACGAATTCTGTCAAGCAATCTTTTTATCTTTTATGATTGACTCCTTTCCAAGGCTCTCACATAAACCGTTTTGTGCCTTATATTAAAAAACAACTCAGATTCTCAAGATTGTTCTGTTTTAAAGAGTAAAACAAACAAACATTGAATTTAAACAACTTTCTGTTAATTTTCTTTTCATAATCCTCATGTTTTTATATCTCCCTTTTTTATTTGCGTTCATTTCACAATACAGAAAAGCAGTATTAAGCAGTATCTATATTTAAGGTTTTATTTATTTAGTAACACGTAGTGTATTTAGCATGCATAGTTTTCTTGACCTTGACAGGCATCAGAATAAATGGTTGCTCTGAATTCCCCCACGCCATTGGATGATTTTCAACTCAAGAGATCCTTTCTATGTTTTTATCAGCTATTTAGGGTTATTGTTGTTACATTATTAACTCGAAAAATGTAGTTAACAGCGTAATGATAGTAGTAGAAATAGAACACCCCATACTTGCCAACCTCTGACAATGAGAAATCATGTCATGACATGACATGTCAAAAAGCGTGTGAAAACGCGCTACAAAGATGCAGACTTTTTTGTATGAACAATGTTCATAATTTCACATTATCATGATTATACAAATTTGTTAATATATAACAAAAACAATATTCTAGAGTAAACTTTTATTGTATTCAACAGTGGTCTGTTTTGCTGCTTTTAAAGCAACAACCTAGGCTTAGGCACATATTCAAACATGATAACAAGGCACACAATATATCATTGTCGAGTTCTGATAAGAATTCAGTGTTGATTTCTTTATAATTGAAAATGTTCTCTCAAAGTCAGAATTAATATTTGGCTGAACTTGAATAGCTTGATCAAGCTTTGAAAGAGTGTCATAACGTTTTTTTGTCATCTATTATCTTTGCCATTGCTCCCAACGAACTATATATGTTGCTATTGTCTCTGAGGCTATTGTCTGGTCAAAACTGGGTAGTTCATCAGAAGACAGCTGGTACTATGAGAACTGATTCAACAGTTCCGTGATATTTCCATCCCCTTTGTCCTGTGAGAATCTGTTGGCTAGATTTGAAACTGAAAGAGAAAAGTATTTTATTATTTGATTACCATTAAGCACGTTAAATGCTTAATCAAATCGCTACTTTGTAGTTCTCCTCTCACATGTATTTTTATGATTGCAACATAGGGTACACAATGCGTTACTCATCTCTCTATAATTTAAACTTGAACTCCCAAATATAATTTGTAAATCTTGAAATTTATCTTGGTACGTACACATCGTTTTCGCATAGCAATCGGCTCTTTAGATGACGGTACAGGTCCTGAAAGCGAACTATTTCTGTCGACATTTCCCCATAGTGAATTTGAAAGAAAGTCACAAAATCGTAAAAACTAATCACAAACTAGTTACCTTAAGGGCTTTTGCTGTTCGTCCATATAGAAAAATAAACAATGGCGACGATACAATTACTTGGAAATTTTTGGTATTTTTTTATCTAATAATGAAAAAACCCGAGAATCGCCATATCACTAACTACCAAAAAATCAAAACAACGAAAAAGCGTGTCAAGTGGCGAAACGCGTGTACACGCCATGTGACAAAATTCTCGCATGTAAACTGTTGAAAAAGCGTGTATTACACGTGAATATCATGTCAGTTGGCAACTATGGAACACCCCCTCAGCCCAAATAGAGTCTTCAATATTATCAACACTATTAAGAAACTTACATGCCATGTTTGTTGCTCACTGTTGATCAAATGTTTTTAAAAAAGTCAAATTCATTAACATTTTATGATATGTAAGTAATCATCTGTTGTGTTTATTGCTATTATTTCTGTTTTGTTTAAAATCTGGGTAGATCAATAATGAACTCAGCCATCAATAGATTACCTGTGGATAGACTATTCCATTCAAGTCAGGGGAGTACTTGTTGATAGACTATCAGGGGAGTACTTGTTGATAGACTATTACGTTTAAGTCAAGGGTTAAAATCTGTTAAAACTTCATGGAAATAATTATAAGACACTGTCCAGAGCAAAATTTAGAAGAAAAAAATTGCATTTGTCTATGTATTACTAGTAATTGGACTTGGTTGGTTTTTATTTTAGTGTTAACTTTAAGTTATTTTGACTATTTTTTAAAGTGAAAAACTATATTCAGATTGAATCAAATAGGGAACACATGTGCAGTTGAATTATTTTTGATTGATTGATTGTTGGTTGCTTAATGTCCAGTGGTAATTATTTTTTGAGAAAGAATACTTATATCAATGGAAACAATGGCGTTCGTATCCCTGAGAGCGATCAAATTAATAAGCTCTTGGATTATAAAAAATGTCAGAATTGATCAAAACCATAATTATCATTGTGTTCATTTACAGATTACAAATTGCAAACTGCAGATGAAACGGTATGCGTAATACTTGAAACATACTCAGTAAGCACACAATATTTTCTTGCTTGTGATTTATGAAAACTAGACCTTTGACTCTTTAATTCTTGTGACTATTCTTTGTGTCAGTAGACTATCAGTCCGAAAAAACATAAATATTTGTATATATCAGTTCTGTATTTATGTTTTTAGGATGACGTGGAAGAAAAAGGATTTTTTGTTGTTGATATGAAAGATTTATTGTCTGATCAGAGTAAGTAGGAACTATTATATCACAGGGTGGCAAAATATAGTTTTCCTGTGAAGTGATCCAACTGTTGTCAATCTGTTCCCTTTACATAACGTAACTTTTTGCACTGAATGAACCAGGGTCAGAATTCAAAGACTACACTAGGAAAACTTAATTACCTTTACATGCATTGATACAAAATGTTTCTGTCCCGAGCAATTTTAAACTCAGTAGTTTTATAATGATTTTTGTTTAAGGAATAATCCAATTTTGTTGTTTGAGGTACATATTAATAAAAAGGGGGAGAAAGCTGGTGTTTTCTCAAACCTCAACCTAACAAAGCAGATTTAAATTGAAAAGCTGGCGCATAGAATTTGAACCCTCACCCACTTGGTTGATTGTTACCTTCTTACAACTACCATATAACTTTTAATGGAAATGCCAATTTCATGTTAATTACTATTTTTTTGCGATATTCTAATTTTCACTGCTTAAAATGGCATCAATTTAATAACTATACATAATGGAATGCATACCATAAATTAATTAAATAAAACCAGAAAAATGCATATTTCGTCTTCTAATTAAAATAAGAAAAGAATCAACAAATATTTATGAATAGCTGTTGCTTTACAGCCAGTTACAAATATTTCATGCACGTTCAAGACAATTTATACACGACAAACCAACATTGCCAGTTTACTCTTGATAAATACCTGATTTTTATTGATTTCCTGGTTCAACCCACAAAACACTTTAATTTTTTTTTTTTTTTTTTCTATTGTGTTGCATTTTTGTCTCGCTGTTGCAGTATGGGAGACCTAGGTATTACAATCCGGCGGCGGCAACAGCGTAAACTATTTGTTTAAAGCTTTATATTTCAGAAGGTAGAAGACCTTGTATACAGATACCTTATGTTACGAAGATTCCGTCTGTCATATGTCCATTGTCCTTGACCTCATTTTCATGGTTCGGTAACTGCTTGAAAAAAAATTACAATTTTTTATACACCCGTCAAATTTTTGACGGGACGTATTATGGTATACAAATGTCCGGTGTCCGTCCGTCTGTCTGTCTGGCGTAAACATGTCGCACCGTAATTTGAGAATGACTTATCCAAATTTCATGAAACTTAACATAGTTGTTTCTTATGATGGTCAAACAATCTGTATACTTTTTGGTGAAAATAAGATTAAAACTTTTTGAGTTACGGGACTTAGTAACTAAAACAGGTGTGTGTTTTTTTTTCACATGTCGCGCCGTATCTCAAAAACAATTTATGATTATTGCTTAAAACTTTACACACTTCTTAGTTATATTAATCTCAAGATCTATATACTTTTTGGTGATGATTCAAAATTTTATTTTAGAGATATTGAGTATTTTGTTAAAAAAGGGGGAGGGATTTTTCACATGTCGGGCCGTATCTCAAAAACAGTTTATGATTATTACTTAAAACTTTACACACTTCTTAGTTATATTAACCTTAAGATCTGTATACTTTTTGGTGATGATTCAAAATTTTATTTTTGAGTTGTTGAGTATTTTGTAAAAAAAGGGGGAGGGGTTTTTCACATGTCGCGCCGTATCTCTAAAAACAATTTATGTTTATTGCTTAAAATTTTACACACTTCTTAGTTATATTAATCTAAAGATCTGTATACTTTTTGGTTTTGATTCAAAATTTTATTTTAGAGATATTGAGTTTTTTGTAAAAAAAAAGGGGGTTTTCGCATGTCACGCCGTATGTCAGAAACTATTTATGCTTATTGCATAAAAATTCACACACAAGACGACCGGTGTATCATGCGCTCATGGCGCAGCTGTTTATTTTCTAAGTGAAATACTTGCTTATAATGAGTACTAAGATAACTATATTTGGTACATGGGTTCCATGCAACATCTACATGTCCATCAGGTGGGGTTCACCTGACCTCCACCTTATTCCATGGTTCAGTGACCAAGGTTATAGTTACGTGGTCAAGTCCGTATCTCAGGTACTGTAAGCAATAGGTCAACTATATTTAATTTATGGAATGATTGTAAGGGGTACCATAGAAAGGCTTGTATAGTCCGCGGTTTTATTCTCCAAAATTGGACCTTCCAGACGGGGTGCGGACTATAGAGTACAATAAGCAAGAAATAAGAGAAAAATTTCAATTTCGCGGGAGAGGTGGTTTGTTTACGTTCCGCCATCTTTGTTATTTATATTGTAGAGGGCGCTCTTATTTTTCAAACTAATAATTTTAACTCATCCATATTAATAAGTTATTTCTATTCAATATCAAATTAATACTGATAAATATAAAAACTAAACCTTTCATTACAAATTTATCGTTTCTTTTCAATGCATTGGTTGAAATAAACTGGTATCTGCTTGATTGAAACGATACAAACATAGTGAAAAAGACAACCTTAAACCAGCTTAGAATTTGTAAACTACAAAACGTAATCGGTTATTGTTAGTGCCGTTTTGGTGTTTCATACTGACTAATATCGTTTGTATTAGCTTAAGACCCTTCAAACATTAATGTGATAGATATATTAAAGACTGTTTTACAAAAGGATGGAACTGTTTTACTTTCAAAGTTGTATTATAGTGATATCTGTTATGTACGGATTTCGACTCTCACCGGTTAATTTCTTCTTTTACACATGCTTTTTAAACTTCCTGTTTAAACATACACAAGTTTCTAAATTGTTTTTTAAGTGAATTAAACTTATTTTAACAATTAATGAAGCGTTCTAGAATCATTTACAAGCAGTTTCAGCTTCTGTTTGATGATGGAAAACAGGTTTTTCCAAGAAAATACCGCAAACGACCGCACAGGATTTAAAATTACCGGAGTTTCATTAGACCTTTTCTAACAGTTACAAAAAGTTTTTTTACCTAAAATTTCGTGGGGAGAAGGGGGTGCGGACTATGTACCAGTGCGAACTATACAAGCCTTTCTACGGTACATGTCCGACTGATAGGTTTCATCTGACCTTGACCTCAATTTCATGGTTCATTGAACAATGTTTAGTTTTTGTTGAGCCTGCAACTTTTGTTGCAGAAAGTTCGACATAGGTATAGTGATTTATATTTTCCTAGGTGGAAGACCTGGATGCTTTATACTTTGTATATAGATGCCTTATATTATGAAGTTCCGTCTGTAATATGTCCATTGTCCTTGACCTCATATTCATGGTTCAGTGACTACTTGAAAAAAAAGTTAATATTTGTTGTAATGTTAATTTCTCTCTTATTATGAGTAATAGGATAACTATATTTAATATGTGCATACCTTGCAAGGTCCTCATGCCCGTCAGACAGTTTTCATCTGACCTCGACCTCATTTCATGGATCAGTGAACAAGGTTAAGTTTTCGTGGTCAAGTCCATTTTTCAGATACTATAAGCAATAGGTCTTCTATACTTGGTGTATGGAATGATTGTAAGGTGTACATGTCCAATTGGCAGGTCCATCTGACCTTGACCTCATTTTCATGATTCAGTGGTTAAAGTTAAGTTTTTTGTGTTTTGGTCTTTTTTTCTAATACTATATGCAATAGGTCAACTATATTTAGTGTATGGAAATATTTTTACAATGTACATGTCAGTCTGGCAAGTTTTATTTGACCTTGACCTCATTTTCATGGTTCATTGGTCAATGTTTAGTTTTCATGGTTAAGTTTGTTTCTTAGATACTATAAGCAATAGGTCAACTATATTTAATGCGTAGATTGATTGTAAGGTGTACATGTCTGTCTGGCATGGTTCATCTGACCTTGACCTTATTTTCATGGTTCATTGGTCAATGTTTAATTTTCCTGTTTAAGTCTGTTTCTTAGAAACCATAAGCAATACCTCAACTATATTTGGTGTATTGAATGATTGTAAGGTGTACATGTATTTCCGGTTTGGTTTATCTGACCTTGACCTCATGTTCTTGGATCATGTTAAGTTTATGTGATACTTTCAGTAAAGCTTTATATTTAGGACTATCAACATAAAATCAATGGTCAGTAAAGAAGGTGAGACATTTCAGTGTGTGCACTCTTCTTGTAGTTTGGTCTATTTCTCAAATACTATCAGCAATAGGTCAACTATATTTGGTGCATGGAATAATTGTAAGGGGCACATGTGCAACTATCAGATTTCATCTGACCTTGACCTCAATTTCATGGTTCATTGAACAGTGTTTGGTTTTTGTGGTTTGGTCTTTTTTGCAAATATTATAAGCAATATGTCAATTATATTTAGTGTATGGAATAATTGTAAGGTGTACATGTCTGTCCGGATGGATTCATATGACCTTGACCTCATTTTCACGGTTCATTGGTCAATGTTAAGTTTATGTGATGCCTCTAGTAAAGCCTTCAAATTACAGACTTTCAACATAAATTAAGTGATAAGTAAAACAGGCGAGACATTTCAGCATGCGCACTCTTATTAACAATGATTATAAACAGATTTCTCCATTGATTTTTTTTCAATGATGATAAACATAAATTTCTGGAGGAATATACTAAATAAAAAATAACTGCATTTTGTTTTAGTATGTACACATTTTGAATTATAGTTTTGATGGAAGGTATTCCAGACCTGTCAACAGAGATGAAAGATATGCCGGACAGAATACTCTCTTGTATGGGATTAGCTGTTCACCAGGTATTTTTTTCCCTGAGAAACAAGGAGTTTGTAAAGACTAAAGGAAAATTTTCTCTACAATTATATTGAAAAATCAAAAAAAAAAAATCTTCACATGAAGGATATGAACATTCATGAAATATTTACCACTGGATGTTAAGCAACCAACACTCAATCTATTAATCACAATTAGAACGCAATATAGAGGACATTTATATGAAAAAAATCCAAAATTTTAAGTAATTTTCAGGTGTTCTTTTAGTATTATTTTTGCATTATATAAAATCTAGTTTACTCTGATTTTCGTTGAGTCGTGAAAACAGGATATAGCGATCCTAGATTCCATTGTTGACGTTAGCGGCATCAACATTTAGGTTGAGTATGTGGTTAAAGTATTTTAAGACATTAATAACTTTGTCAAATCTTCATGGAATTATATGAAATTTGGAGGAAGCTTGTTTATGACCAACATACAATATCAAGAGCAACATTTTGAAAATATTTATTTTCATTTTTCAGTATTTTACTGATAAATGTACTTAGTTTTTGTCTCGCTTGACGGAGTCAAAAAGCGAGACATAGGTATGCTGTTTCTGGCGGCGGCGGCAACAATGTATTAGTTTGTGATTAGGTCTAGTTTATGGTGAACTACTAGTGGTTAGTCAAAGATATTTGGTATGCAGTTGTATTAGTATTGGCACATCTCATTACCATGGAGATTATTTGGCCCTGCCCCCTCAGTTATGGTCTATTGACTTTGAAATTATGCTTAGTTTTCATGTATTAGTTTGTGATTAGGTGAGTTTATGGGGAACCACTAGTGGTAAGTTAATGATAATTGGTATGCAGTTGTATAAGCTTTGGCATATCTCATTTCCATGGAGATTATTTTACCCCGCCCCAGCAGTCATGGTCTATTGACTTTGAAATTTTTGCTTAGTTTTCATGTATTAGTTTGTGATTAGGTCTGTTTATGGGGAACCACTAGTGGTAAGTTAATGATAATTGGTATGCAGTTGTATAAGCATTAGCATATCTCATTTCCATGGAGATTATTTGACCCCACCCCCTCAGTCATGGTCTATTGACTTTGAAATTTTTGCTTAGTTTTCACGTATTAGTTTGTGATTAGGTCAGTTTATGGGGAACCACTAGTGGTAAGTTAATGATAATTGGTATGCAGTTGTATAAGCATTAGCACATCTCATTTCCAAGGAGATTGTTTAGCCATTTACCTTCAGTCATGGTTTATTGACTTTGATTATTTGCAAAACTTACATGTCAAAGTGTTGCTATTTTAATTTCAACATTTGCATTATTGAAATTACAAAAAAGCGAGACATATCTCTGTGATAACAGTTTATTTTTTACAGCTAACAAGTAGATACAGTCTGGGGTTAATGTTTGTTACACATCATTTACTTTGTCAAACCTTTAATAATTTTATAAAACTTTGGCAGAGGCTTTTTTATGATTAGGAGATAATGTTTGAAGCAAACTTTTGAAAATATATTTTATTTTCATTTTCAGTATTTTTCTGAAAGATGGACTTTGTTTTTTACAGTTAACATTTACAGACAGTCTGGGATTAAAATTTTTTGACATAAAAAGTTTCATCTTTTTCAATAGAAATGTTGTATTTTACTGATTCACTTTTTAAGTCAACATTACACTTTTACACTGACAGCAACAATCGCAGGCAAGACACGGGGTTCTGCAGGACCCCTTCCAAATTTATTTGTTTTTTTATCTAACAATAAATGGTTTGATTGTTCTCAACTCTTTGTTGAATAACTAATGAAAAAGAGCACCATAAGTGATCACTAGTATATTGAAAATACTCTCAAAATCAAATGTCTTCCTCTGTATGTATGTCCTATAAAGCCTGAAGATTGGGTAAGAATATGAAAAAAAAAGTCAGGTAATTCCTTATGGATGTGTAAGAAATATGTTCTGTCATCAATGTGGGGTATATGTTTATTATTGGGAAATAACAGTACTCGATTTGAAGATTTATCACAGTCAAATCAAATATTCAAATCTTCAAATACAATGCTGTTATTTTTAATCTAATGCAACACTTTTAAAATGTTCAAAATCTAACATTCCAAATATCCAGAAACGTCAAGTGCAATTGCACTAATTTTACTAATGACTCCATATGTCAATCTTAGAATTGACAGCAGATGTCATCCAATCAATTTGTTTTATTAGAACTACAAATAATACATTAAAAAGGATTTTTAAATTAATGAATTATAAAAAGAAAAAAAGATCATTTCTTTTCATTCTGTTGAACTGTTTAATTTGTGGTTCGCCTATACCCTCAAATCCACAAAATATTGTACGCCACCAATAATACTTGAAGTACATCCTTTTCAGTTGATTACTCACAAAAGAAAACGTGAAGCAGAAGCAGACTACCAAAATGACCAGTTAGATGGCAGTAATTATTCAGTGCCAATAATACTAGCTAGGATGATTAACTTTGGATCACAGATACCACTGAAAAACTTGAAAGCAAATTACTACGGTAAATATTGTAAAAGTGGCCGTCTGTACAGTACCTTGAAAATAAGAAATAGAAAAATCTGAGATTTTTGTGTCACCTTTCGTTGCAGGAAATAAACTATTTGTATAAAGCTTTATATCTCAGAAGGTAGAAGACCTGGATACCTTATGTTACCAAGTTTCCGTCAATCATATGTCCATTGTCCTTCAACTCATTTTCATGGTTCAGTAACTGCTTGACAAAAATTTGACTTTTTTTCATGTGAATTTCTCACTTATTATGAGTAATACACAGCCAAATTTTGCTCACGTGAATTTCACGTGAATTTCACGTAAAACATTTTATGTGAATTTCACGTGAAAAAATATAAATGGTGTCTAAGTTAAAAAAAAATAACCGAAAATCAAACATTTTGTCAACCTCTAATATCTTGTATTATATGTATCATATATTCCATGGAAATCTTAATTTAATTTGAAAAATTCTATTTTCACGTGAAATTCACGTGAATATTTCACGTGAAATTCATGTGAGTATTTCACGTGAGTATTTCACGTGAAATTCACGTGAATATTTCACGTTAAATTCATGTGAATATTTCATGATATATTCACATGAAAAATTTCACGTTAAATTCACGTGAACAAATTAACATGAATCAAAACTCATGTGAAAATGTTATGTTTCATTTTATCTGAATTAAACCATGAATTCATAAGAGAAATTTAACTTTATTGAGTTAAATTTTTGTAACATGAGAAACAAATTCACCTGAATTTTGCTATTATTCATTCCAATTTTCTTTTTGCAAAATTGAATCATTTTAAAAACTGTTATTCTTTGTCTCTCAAGATTTACACATTTGGACATACAATCATTGTAAATGATAAATATTTATCTTTTTGTTAAGCATGAATTATCTCCCTTGATAGTGGGTTAGATGCAACTACAAAAACATGTTGGTTTTGAATTATATTTTCTATCACTGTTTATATTTATCTCTAGTAGAGTCATTAGGATGGAATTTTGTATACATGTGTATCTCTTATTTCAAATTCCTAGATGCCTATATTATATTGATGGACTAATTTGATTTACTAGTAATATTTCTATAATTATTAAGTAGTAAATTTAATTACTTTCACACATCTTATGTCTTCTTTACTTTTATACTTTTAAAAAATGTGGGAGGTAACTCCAACTTATGAAATAGATTACTGTTACTGTAATAGATTCTTTACTTCCCATTATTGCAAAGAAAAAAAGGATAATATATATCATATATATATATCATTAACTTCCAAACATGAGTTATATCCCTTTTTTACTGTGCATAAAACTTTTCCTCAAACTTATAAGTCAAGAAAATTTGTGAGCATTGAATCGCACATAAGTTTAACATTAGGACATATATGAATAAAAACTAGTAAGAATACAGAAAAGAATTTTATATGTACTAAATTTTGTCAATAAATGTAAATTTGAATGTTTATCAATTTTTTAAGTATATTGAAAGTGCAGTATAAAATTTTTTGTATTGCTTTTTATAACATGACATCTATACAAGAAGCAAATTTTGTTTATAATCTTTGAAATTGAAAGATTGCATGATCAATTGTTGCACTGGGACACATTTTAAAATTACAAAACAATTTTACGTCCCTGTATTCTTAGATTAATGTTTTTATTCAGAAAAAATGAATGGTTACATCAAGGAATTGTATATTTAAATATACAATTCCTTGGTTACATTTACACTTTATTATTAAAAAAAACTTACATTCTTTAAGCTTTAATAAATGTGTGGTAAATGATTGCCAATTAGACAAGGCTTGCTCATTGAATTAAGGTTAAACATTTTACTTTTGTATAGATATATATATATATTCTTTTACACAATGAAATCACAGTCATAATTGAAATTATATTTATTATATTTTATCTGGGACTATTATACTAAGTTAGTATAATAGTCCCAGATTTTATAAATATATATATTAAATAGTTGTGAGGGTTTAATTAACTAACAGCTCCATGTGGAGGTGCTCCTATGTAAAGGATGCTTATTAACAAAATAATTTGTTATATGTTCCAAGGATTTGTATAGTAGGAATGGGGGAACTAGCAGGTACCTATTTTTCACTTTTCACATGGAGAAATACTTTGAACATCAGATCAGGACAATATCCGTGAATCTCTCGTCCGGAGTCGGGTTTTTTTAAAACGCTTGAAAGATACAAATTTTGACGCGTCTTAAAGAGAAGAACGCCGTCAGCCGATTGTCAACAACAGTACTTGTTTCAGTTAATTTAACAAGACAAACAATACCAAGGAGCTATGAATCAATGAATACTCGAGGATGTACTACAGGTAACTCAAACAAATGATTTAATAGTGCAGGAATAAACAGAAATCTGCAATGACTGAATGAGAATGGTTTTCATCTTCGATTTTGGTATCGTTTTCGTTCGCTCCCAAATAATTTTTATACACGTTCGCCCCATAGGACCTAACGCATCTAATTTCAAATTCCAGTTGAATTGTAAGTTATTTTATTGTTTGTATACAGTAACGTAGCTTGCATTCTGTTATTCACGAAGTCAAGGGGTCTTAAGCTATCGATTTTTTTTAACAATTTGAACAAACTAAAGTTAAACTACCAACTTATTAGTTCATTACCTGCTTATAAATTTTCAATGTTCATATGGATACTTAAATCTTTTAAGACGCATTTATGATTTAGTTTCTCATATCGAATTCTTTATATGTCGCAACTTCCCAGATAATGGCAGATTAAAAAATATTTATGAATAATGGAGATGGATATGTCAAATTCTGACTGAGTCTTATACAGTATAAATTTGTCACTTCTTTTTTTATTTGTGTATGATTCAAATCATACGTATTACTATCTTATCTATGATTAACTCAAAAGTTATATAGATAACAAACACTTGGCTGACTTGCAGTTATCACATACATGACACAAGACAATCACTGACAAGTTTCCGGACTTGCTAGCAGTAACTGAAAGCCAGATCAAATACAATGTACCTAATCTGTTGTACAAAATGTACACTCTAATACTGGTCACGTGGCTGTACCTCACTTTGACATTAGATTTAACGTCATATCAGAAGCAACACAATTGACTTGAATTGTGTCAATTTTTTTTATTCCAGCATATTTAGATTACAGAAAACTACAAATGGTATAAATCAATAATGACAACAAAACGATACAGTATAAAAAAGAAGATGTGGAATGATTGCCAATGAGAATGCTACAGGTCACTGTACAGCATGGCCAACTATTATCCTCAGTGTAAGCCAGTACAAGTTACATATGTATCGCGCATGATTTTAATTTCTTATCCGTCTGATCAGTCTTTTCTGTGTGTGATATCTTATCAAGACAACATGCTGAGTTTGTAAAGACAATGTTGACACTCGTTAATAATTTGACAACACTAAGTAAACAATATTATAACCATATGACATTGTAGCATGCTAGGTTCCGCATGAATACGAGTTGTATAAACTGAATTTATTTCCAAAAGATAAAATTCGATTTTACCGAATATCGAACATACAAAATAAAAAGTCTAAAAGGACAAATACGAGATTATGATAACCAAACATATATACATGTATATATATCTATCATTAAATCGTTGGCTTGTTATAGTTTATAAAAGCACTTACATAAAATTAAAATTGTTCTTTAACAATTTCAAAAGCAAGAGGGTTGTAATTGTGAGGTTATATTATATTAGATATAATACTCTTGATTTCAGTAACATCATTTTTAGAGAAGTATGCAATGAGTTGACAATCAAAATATGGATAGATGTAATTCATGTAATAACAAAATACATAATCGAAAAATGATTCACTATAGTCATCAATAGAAATGTTCACACGATGTTGTTCGATTTTGATATATCTTAAACCTTTCTTTCGACGTAAATCCGAATATGAGACAACGTAGATTTTTATCTTGTTTTACATAAAGAAAGTCCCACAGAAAAAGTGTATACAATAATGTTCAGAGTATAATATAAAAAAAGGGGGGGGGGAGTACCCTGCCCAGATAATAATATAACTGATATGTAAAGGAAAGTTTTAACCACAGATTTGAACTTGACAATTTTATCTGAAATTCTCACCAGGTGACCAAATACATGTTGAAATTTGTGAACTTCACACGGATATCTTTAGAAAACATCCTAATCGAAACAACAGGGGTCACAGGCATCTGTTTTCAAGTATAATTCTGAATTTTAACGATTCCAATTATCTTATTCATTTGATAAATTAAAAATTTCAAATTCTGAAAATACATGTACAAAAAATGTACAATATACATTTTTTTTTTTTATAAATTTTGTAAATGTAAGAAGATGTGGTATGAGTGCCAATGAGACAGCTCTCCGTAAACTTTACATTAACAGAAAAATAATTAAAATAAGTTTCCTTTTTAATAAATATTTTACATAAATGTTCAATTGCAAAAGTAAAATTTTTTTCATGATAGAATCTTTTGAAAGGACGGAGACAAATTAAAAATAATATTTATTTTGTTCAATGCGATTTATTTTTCTAAAAGTTAAGTGTATAAAAGGAGAATGTGCATCAAACAAGCAATAGACTAGTAAATTCACATGTACATGTATGTATCTAAAATTTTGTTTCTTAAGGTAGATAGGGTGTCTTCCTCCATCTTGAATTTTGAAATACCAGAAAACAATCGGTCTAGATCTTTAATAAAAGGTGCAAATTTTGAGAGTAGTAGGTAATTCATGTGTAAGAATTTTCATTTCAATATAGAAAATGACCTATTTTATCATATTTATGGTTGTATTTTACAAAAAAACAGAATACTTTTGTTGGATTCTATTTTTTCCAACTTTGCCATATAAGGGGAGGCAACTCAAATGTAAGGGCAGATAATTCAGATAAAGTTACTTTTACAATAGAATGTGTTAGGAATTTACCTATTTTATTATGTAGCAAGAAAAC